ACAAAACCCCGACACTAGACGAATTTCTTCTCCTCTTCAGCATCGGTGGTTTCCCCTTTTACAGTCTATACCCCCACAATCATTTTCCCATTTTTGAGAAGGTCGAGCTCAAGATCGACAAATGGGCGCTTAAATACTTCGTCATTGAATTCCCGGCTCACAGCCCCATCGACCTGCCGGGTGTTGTCCTCCGCCGTTCTATTTCCCGGACGAAATTCGCCCCAACAAACCTGGTGGAAGGGGTGTATAATGCTTTGAGGGAGAAGGAGGGTCTAATTTCCCACCACTCTCTCCAAGAAGCTAATCTATACAAGAAGGCAGGGTTTTACTGCCTCCTGGGTCCTGACCCGATTCCTTTTGAGGAGGTGCCTTCCCCCGAGAGATCGAAGACTCCTTCTGCTGCAGAGTCCAACCCGGCTGCAAGTTCTTCTGAAGATCGGCCCCAAGGTGGTTCCAATACCTTAGTTGTGCGCAATCCGGATGCTGATCTGAATGCTGTTCCTATCTCTGCCATCCCTGGGCTTAGGAGGCCCACTCTGTCCCAGAAACGGCCACGGGAAGGTCTCTCCGATGATGATTTTCTTCCCAAGAAAAACAAAGGTGATGGGACTTCCGTTTTGCCCAGCCCCCTGTCCAACTCTTCTGGTACTCAGAATACCACTCCTGCTGCTACATCCGGGGTCCTGAAGTTATCCCACCCGGATAGACTTGACTGTGAGGAAGAAGAGCCTAGAGACCAGTCTGCGCTCAGAAAACCCGCAACGCAGCCTCAGACTGAGGCGTCCGGTTCCTCGCCACCCGCCGCAACCACTCCCCCCGCAACGAACGAAGAGGGGATGAAGCAGAAAGAATCGGAGCCCTCTCCTGCAACAGAGAGGGAGATCGAGGCACAGACTGAAACAGACGTCTCCCACCCGGAGGAGAATGAAGCTGGAGAGCAGAGAAATGCTGGAGCCTCCTCAGAGATGGAGAGAGAGATTGAGAATCAACCGGAGCAGAAGGAACAGGGTTCTACGGCCACACTCCCAGCCCCCAATATCCCCATCCGGCGTAAGTTCACACCGCAAACTTACTCTGCTTTTACCGAGGGTTGGGAAGGCCTTTCCCGCGGTTTGAGATCCCTACAGGCCTCCCGTTGGAATATCCAGGCGAACCTGGAGAGGATGAGGGACTCGGTGCAGGGGCCCACAACTCTCCAGACTCGCCCCGACCTGCTTGCTCTCAATGCCCTGCACTTTATGGAGCAGGTACTCTTTCCTTTCGAAATTTTCCTTATCTTCTTTTAGGTTAGTCCTTTTCCTTGACTTCCCTATCCTTCTTTTTAGGCCCAGCAATCACTCCTCACTTTGACTGAGGAGTACCTGGGTGGAGCTTCAGGGAACTTCCGGGCTGCAATGCTCCTGAGGGAGAGGGATCTAGCTGCCAGGGCCTTGCAACAGAAATTCAACTCCCTGGAACAGCAAGTCCGGATCCTGCTAGAAGAGAATTCTCGGCTCAAGCTAGATGGCTCCACGGAGCTTGCAGCTGAGAGATCCAAGGTCCAGTCCATGCAAGATCAGATTGCTAATTACCACAAGGAGACCCAAGATCTGGAAGTGCAGTTTGGTAGGTTCTGGGCACAAATCTCCCTCCTGGAATCAAGGGTCTCGGCTTCAGAAGACCAGGTAGGAAGTTTGAAAGCTGAGCTGGTTGAGAGGGAATCCCGGATCTCTGAGCTAGAGAATTCCCTCCAAGAGGCCAAGTATGAGGGTTCACACCTTAACGAGCTTGCCCTAAAGCACATGGAGGCGAGACGGCTTGACCTCGAGAAGTTGAAGGGAGAGAGGCAGGCCGCAAGTGAGCTCCGGGCAAAGGTGGATGAACAAGAGAAGACGATCGCTGCTCATCAAGAGGAGGTGGCCACCCTGATTGCCCGTGCCAAAGCCCTCTACGAAGAGGGACAATTTGACATGCAGCAATGCATCTACGGGGCAGTCCACAGTGGTCTCCCAGAGAACCGCACTCTGGATGACTTCATCTCCTACTATGGGTTACCTCTCCCTCTTTCTCCCCCAGCTTCTCGTGCAGACCCGGGGCCTTGACTTTATCCCTCCTTGTTGACTGTCATATTTTGCCTTGTAATTATTTGGATTATGGTAAATTGATAACATCCGATGTATTTTTGTCCATGTAGACTCCTTTAGTAATCTGACTGTTCTCCTTTTGGTATTCTTGTTTTGCCCTAGGACTTAGCAGATTTTTTTACCCGCCTAGGCTTTGGGCTTAACCGCGTTCACAACACACTGTTCCTCTTATTTACCATCGCGCTAAGCGGCTGGCCCACTTTAATTATGCCGGGCCCAACTCACCCTAGCCCAATGATAAGATAGTGGAACCCTAGCCCTCCTCGGGAATCCGCAACTGCCTCCCAATCGGATAAGCGCTTTGACTCCGCGTCCCTTGCCCTTCTCCTTTGGGATTACTCACCTATTTAAGGGGCTGGGCTAAGCCCTTTCCATACCACAATCAATCTCTCAACATGGCTAATAACGCCAATAGAGTTGTCTTCATTGATCTTACTATTTCTGATTCTTCTTCTGATTCTTCTTTGTTGGCATTCCCTTCACTTGGGTCCCCAACACCTGAGCTCTCTTCTGGGCCTTCTCTTGCCTCTGAACAATCGGTAACCTCCCCCTTGCCCAGGGAGGAGAACAACCCTCATCTCCCCCAACAGGTCTCGGGGAGTATCCCTCCGGGTCCCAGCGTGCTTCCTAACAGTGCCAGGGCTGAAGTCTCTTCTGGCTGTCCTGGCACTTCTCGTCCACAGAAGAGACGCAATCCCCACTCAGGAGCTTCCCGGCTGGTCTCCGGTGCGAGGCCTTCTTCTCAGAGTTCCCCTTCCCCTCAGCAGTTGCATGGACAGCCACCTGAGGAATGGGGGGACTATGACATGGGGGNAAATTCTGCTTCCTCAAACTGGGTTCCATTGTCTGATATAATCTGCTTCGGGACCCCAAACCTGCAGAGTATATTAGTCCCAACGAAGTCGATCATCTGCCTTCCGGTGATCCCTGCAAGTGGCTCAGCCTCCACCCACTTTGTGAAATAGTCTATTGCCACCACAATCCACCTTGCCTGCCCCGCCCCTTTTGGCAGGGCTCCCACAAGATCAATCCCCCATCTTGAGAAGGGAATCACGGAGCTGATGGGTGTGTAGTTAGTGGCTGGTCTCCCGGGTATATTCTGGAATTGCTGGCAAGTCAGGCACTTGCGTACATACTCTTCGCAATCCTTCCTCATCGTTGGCCAGAAATATCCTTGGATGATTGCCCTCCGGGAAATGGAATAAGGACCCTGATGTGCGGCACATACTCCTTCGTGTATTTCTTCCATCAATGCCTTCGCCTCTGTTGCTCTAAGGCAACGGAGTAGGACACCGTTGTAAGACCGCTTATAGAGGACTCCGTCCTGCACCTTGTAGGTTGGTGCCCTCATTCGTAATAGACGCGCTTCCTGGGGATTCTCCGGGGCCTCGCTGTCCTCAATATATTTGGCCAATTGGTCCAGCCATTCCGGGGGATCGGCTGATACCCAGAGCACTTCACTGCTGTTAAGACTCGGGGTTACCAGCTCTTCGACAGTTGCTAATCTGCTTATGTATTCCGGTGATTCTGCGCTGAGCTTGGATAGAACATCGGCCTCTGCGTCCGGGGTATATGTTCAAGCTTAAACTCAAACCTTCCCAACATCTCTAGAGACACGTCCCGGTACCTCTTCATCCTCTCTTCCTTTGCTTCAAACTCCCCTATGATTTGTCCCACCACCAGTCGGGAGTCACTGTAGACTTGAACCCTGGATACTCCCATCTTACCAAGAATCTTCAAACCATTGATCAGGGCCTCATACTCAGCTTCATTGTTGGAGACACGGAACTGAAATCTGATGGCGTAATAAATCCGGAAATTTTCTGGGGTGACCAAGACGATACCTGCTCCGCAAGATCGAGACCCAGAAGATCCGTCGATGCACATTATCCACCAATCTTTCTCCATCCGGGTTTCAACCTGGGCTCTCGTCATTTCCCTAGCGGTGCACTCGACTTGGAAATCAGCGAGTGCTTGCCCTTTGATGGATGGGCGCGGCCTGAATTCCACGTTGTACTGACTGATAAAGACCGCCCACTTGGTCATCTGGGCCGATGCCGCCGGGCTCCGGCTAAGTGACGCCAATGGCTCATTGGTGAGCACAATAATCCGGTGAGCCTGAAAGTACGGTGTCAATCTCTTCGCCGTCCAGAAGACCGCCAACATGGCTTTCTCTGGTCGGGAATACCTTAACTCCGCATCCCTCAGGGTCTTGCTGACGTAGTAGACCGGATATTGGGCCCCACGCTCTTCTCTCACGATCACAGTACTTATGGCACAATCCGCAATCGCCAAATATAGAGTCAGAATATCCCCAGGTTCTGGCTTGGATAAAACCGGCGGACTTGTGAGATATCTCTTTAATTCTTCAAATGCTTCTTGACACTCCGGTGTCCATTCAAAGGTCGCCTTCTTCTTAATCACCGCAAAGAATGGGTGCGCCTTCTTTGCCAGCTGTGAAAGGAAACGATTTAAGGCCGCCAATCTTCCTGTTAGCCGCTGAACCTCCTTGGCCGTCTTCGGAGGTTCCATCTCCATGATGGCTCTAACTTTCTACGGGTTTGCCTCAATCCCTTTCCGGCTTACCATGTGCCCAAGGAATTTTCCACCTTGAACCGCAAAAGTGCATTTCTTCGGGTTTAATCTTAGATTTACCTTCATCATGATGTCAAAGACCTCCTCAAGGTCCCGGACATGGTCTCGGGCCTCTTTGGACTTGACGATCATATCATCGACATATGCTTCCATGGTTCACCCTAGGACAGTCTTGAACACCTGAGAAACCATCCGGGTATATGTGGCCCCGGAATTTCTCAGTCCAAAGGCCATCACCAGGTAACAGTACAGCCCTTCTGGGGTCATAAAGCTTGTCTTCTCAGCATCGGCCGGATGCATTCGGATCTGGTGATATCCGCTGAAAGCGTCCATGAAGCTCATTAACTCCGACCCAGCAGTTTCATCGACCATCTGATCAATGTTGGGGAGTGGAAACGGATCCATGGGGCATGCCTTGTTCAGATCTGTGTAGTCGACGCACATCCTCCATGAAGGTGGCTTGGGTGCTAGGACTCCATTCGCCAACCAATCCGGGTATTGTATCTCCCGGATATGCCCAATGCTCTGCAGGGTTGCTACCTCCTTCTTTACGAAATCTCTTCTTTCCTGCAACAAATGCCTTCGTTTTTGCTTCACCGGTTTGGCCTCCGGCAGAACATTTAGGCGATGGACAGCAATCTTGTGATCCAGCCCTGGCATATCAGCTGGACTCCATGCAAAGACCCTTCTGAACCTCCTGAGGACTGAAATCACCCGTGACCTGAGTTCAGCCCCCAGGCCCTTACCAATCCAGACAAACCTTCCCGGCGTGCCTGGCTCCAGTTCCACCTCCTCAATGTCGCCGGCAACTTCTACTCTTAGACGTTTTTCCTCAGCCCTCAGGAGCTGTGCAGTCACGTCTCCTACTTGGGTATCGTATTTGATGGGCTGTTTGGTTGCCTTCAAATACCATGCCCGGGATACTCTCTGAGATCCCCTGGCAATCCCAACTCCGTGGGGGGTTGGGAATTTTATGCAGAGGTGACGAGGTGAGATGACACACTCCAGATCTTCCAATCCGGGTCTGCCCAGGATAATATTCGTGCTAGAAATTATCCCCACCACGACAAACTCCATGTCAAGCTTCCGGGTAGCCTTAGTATCCCCTATCTCAACCGGGAGGGTTATCACCCCCTCCGGTTCAATAGAATCACCAGTAAACCCGGTCAGTGGGGTCTTGATGGGCGACAACTCATCTCTTGTCAAACCGAGAGCCTTGTATGTGTCCATATACATGATATTAACGGAGCTACCCGTATCCACAAGGGTTTTGTGGATCAGTAAGTCCATTATATCAATAGTAATTACTAGGGCGTCCCTATGAGGGACCCCTGTCTCTGGAAGATCAGCATTAGAAAACACAATAGGCTCGGTTTTCAACTTCTTACCTTCCGGGACCAGCACCTTGTTGACCATTGTCGCGTTAGCCCACTTCTTCCGGCTTATGGCCGAGTCCCCACCAGTATTCCCTCCAATGATGAAGTTACACCCGTGGTGTCTCTTCTGGCGATGCGGCGCGGGTTCCGAATCTTCCTCTTCGTCTTCTAGTCCAATGTGGCGTTTCTCCCGGGCCTCAGCCTGGGCTACTTCTTTATCTCTGCGTTTTCCATTCTGAGCATTCCCGGGATTCCCGGCATCACCATCTTGTACAAACTTCTTCAGATGACCCCGGCGGATCAGCCTTGCCATCTCATTTTTCAGAGTATAGCAATATTCTGTGTTGTGATCATTTTTGCGATGGTAAGCACACCATTTCCCAGTGTCTTCCACATTGCAAACCTTCTGAGAATAGGTTGGGTAAGTCATGAGCCCCTGCTGTGCTGCGTGGGTCATGACCTCAGCCACTGGCAGTGTAAAGACTGGATTGGCAGATTTATGCTTCTCGGAGGTCCCGGGACTTGCGCCCTTTGGGCCATCCGAGAAGCCCTGCTTCTTATTCTTAAACGGTTTCTTTGTTCCCGACTTCTCTTCTTCTTTAGGAGTCTTCTCTTTCTTCTCCTCCTTTCTTTCTTCCAGGGTCACATACCTCCCAGCCCGGACCATCGCTTCTTCGAAGGTATCCGGGGGATGTGTAGTGAGATCGGTGTGAAGGAGTCCATCCTGTAATGCCGCCGTGAACATAGCCAACCTGGACTTATCATCAGTTCGTTCAACTTCCCTGGACTCTTTCCTCCATCGGATAAGGAAATTCTTCAAGGATTCTCCGTGCTTCTGTCGCACTGATGCCAAGTGAGTGAAATGCTTTTTGGGGCGACAGTTCCCAGCAAAATGCTCTAGGAATCGTAGTCCCAATTCATCCCACGTTCGGACTGATCCGGCAGGGATATGGTTGACCCAGTCTGCAACCTTGCTATCAACGGTCTGCAAGAAGCACCGACACATGAGTGCGTCACTAGCGTCCACGGCGATCATCACTTGGACATAGCTATTTATGTGCTCTTGGGGGTCTGATTCACCGTCATAACGCTTGACAAATGGCATTTTGAATCCCTGCGGATATGGTTCCGCAAAGATCTCTAGAGCCAAGGGAGTATTCGTTCGAGTAGTGAATACTCGACCCTTGTTTATCTTCCTCTGCATCTCCTGGATCTGCTGTCTCAGGTCTTGAAATTCACCAGCTTCCGGCACCGGCGGTCCCAGACGCCGCGGTGCTGGGACCCTGGCTTGGCTTTGAACCTCGTCCTCCTCCAGATTCCGCAATGACCGGACCGGCACTTAGCTTACGCCTCGGTCATTTCGCTGCCGGGGTTCGCGATTGGAGGACGCCACTTGGCTGGCCTGAGGTCGTATCCAACCCTGGGGTGCCTTTTCTGGATTCTTCCCCAGCCTCTCACTAACGTGAGCTTTCTGGCGAGATATCCTTTCAAAGACAGATCCCCGCGGATTTTCGTGTCCATCGCTGAAGATCCGGCTTGGATCCTTAGCCTGGCCTTCGTTCACCTTGTTGTTCCGGGCCAATTCCTCCGCCCGGCGTCTGTCAATGGCTCGCCTTTCCCTCTCAACCTCCTCCGGATCGTGGAGCTCCTGTAGGATAGGAGAACTCGTAGTACGCAGGACCTGGCGGGGTTGCCCGGGTGGGATATCACGGGTTCCGGATGGACCTGGAAGAGCCTTATCCAATCGCTCCATAATGTTTGCCATCATGTTAGCCACATTATTTAGCGTTGTTTCCAACCCATTGACAGGAACAATCATACCCTGTTCAGGGTTATCACTCCTCAACATCGACTGGGCAGAAGTAGCAGGGTTACGTCTCATCCTTCGTCCGGCCATAATCTCACAGCCTTATCTCACAGTATTCTCTCAATGGAAGCACCAATGATGGGATTAACGCGATCAGATGGCGGACCAAGAACGGAATATGAATTAGGAAGATATAATTACTTGATAATATTCTTTGATTAAGTATTGAATTGTCTTGTTGTGACCTTCTTTACAATGGCGGGTTTTCCCCTTTTTATAGTACTTCTAATATTTCAATTAAAATTACACAAAATGGGAATGGATTATGGAGATCATGGGGTTGTGATTCCCCTTCTTTCCGGTCTCGTTCTCTTCCCATTTCGCCCATAACTCGACGATGTGGGCCACGTGTCCCATTCCCCTTTTGGACTGGGTCACTTCGATTTACCTCGTGTTTGGGCCGTCTCCTTCCACTTGCCAAATACGAGATGACGGGCTTGGCCCGTCATCCCATCTGGTCCTATTCCTTTTGGGCCATTATGGGCCTCCATTTGGGCCTGAAGTCGGGTCTTCCAGACCCGATATATATATATATATATATATATATATATATATATATATATATATATATATATATATATATATATATATATATATATATATATATATATATATATATATATATATATATA